ATTATCCGCATCTAATTGAAATGTTATCTTGTAAAAAATTATATAAACATCAAACACAGGTCAGCAATGAATTCTCTTGCTAATGATAACTTTTCAAAAAAACCCGTTAAACAAAATGAATCGACATATCATTATTTTCTTGAACTTCTTGGTCTTTCTTATTTCTAGTGCCTTTGCTGCTTGTGGTAATGCAGGTGGTTGTACATGCGATAAAAATGATAAAACTGGTGGCCTCACATGTGGTTATGAACTTAATAATCGTTAGTATATTTTTTTTCAGTTATGATAATATTTAATCAACTTTATCATATAAAGAAAGCATTATCAGTAACGTTTCTATTTCGAAAAAATAGATTGTCCTTCTGATCCCAGCTCTATATTTCAATGTAGTCCTAATGGTGGTAGCATTTGTCGATATGGTCCTTGCTCATATGGATGTTGTGCAGTCGGTAATGGGAAAAGCTACTGTTGCAAAGACAATAAATGTTCAGGATGTCCCTCTGGCAAATGGATTAAGAAAGATTCCCCACCTCCTTCTAATCCACCTCCTTCTAATCCACCTCCTTCTAATCCACCTCCTCCTTCTAATCCACCTCCCTCTAACCCACCTCCTTCTAACCCTTCCGGTTATGATAGACAAAAGGCAGTAAATTATGCTGGACAATATTGTTTAAATCCAAATTCGAAATATGAAAATTATGATAAAAAAGGAGGTGATTGTACTAATTTCGCTTCTCAAGTTTTAAATGCAGGTGGTATCCCTACAGACAATGTTTGGAAACCGGGTTCTGTTGCATGGATTAATGTGCCGGCGTTTTACAATTATCTCATTAGTCACAACTTGGCAAAAGAATGCCAATTGACTGAACTGAAACCAGGTGACTTTATACAATTTTACAGCTCAACTTGGTCACATACTGTTGTTGTTGTAAAATCAGGTGCAAACCCTACAGTTGATTCCCACAGTGCATTTAAATGTAATAGCTTATATAGTTACTTTAGAAGTGGTTTTAATAACTATAGAGGTGTTTGCATTACGAAATAATCGAATTTTCCAAATTTTCAGCATTAATTACATTATTATAGAATTATAAATCTTCATATAACTTTAATAATTTTAAAATAATTTCAATCAAAACTAATTGCATTAATTAACACCATTGTCCTTACTTGATTTTTCTAAGAGCACTTATTCTAATAAAAATATCCTAAAGCATAATGCAAGCGTCAATTAAACAATAAGGATATAAGTTTCACTATTATAAGATGTATAGTACTTCAATTAATGATATTATTCCAGTTCTTAGTTCTCTTAATTCTAAAGGAGATAATTCTGTTCCTGGACTAATAAGAATAGTATCATAACGTAATATAACTATACCTCCCTCTAAAAATTCATGTATCGATAATAGAGTTGTCATATATACATTTAGAAGAATAAAAAAAATACGTATAAATTTTAGAATTATAAATATAAGCATAACAACTCACTTTATATTTTCTATTGAGAATATATCTTACTCTCATTGATGTTATTTAATAATTTTAGGAATTTCTTGAATGTGAATCAGATTATTGGCTTAGTAACTAACAACAGTGATCGGGCTAATAAAATTTATATGCAATTCATATCAAATATTTATATTCGTAGAACTTTTTGTGCTTTGCTAACCATCCTGTACTTTATAGGCTTTATATTTTCTTTTAATTTGAAAATTTAAATATAACAGAAATATATAATGATTCGTACATAAATTATGACTTACATTTGTATATTAAAATAAACTTTTAAAAGTGAGTCCCTTCTGATGTTAGTGAAAAGTGCATTGTCATTTTTTTTTTCTTAACATTAAGATAAGGCTCAAAGTAGCTTATAATAAAAGCCGCCTATAAACCGTTTAATACATATATATATTAACCAACCTTTTAAAGTCAATATTTTCTCATTATTTCGCATATTAAATTAAATATGTGAAGAGTTGTCATTATTCTGTAAAAATTGAAACCATTATGAAAAAAATGCACACTAATGGTTATTTGAACTCTAACAACAATAAAACTGTAGATTAAAAGTTATGAAAAACTAAGCGTACTTTTTTGAAAAGTATATAAATTGAGTGAAATAGGGTGTTCTCAAGCAACTCCCTCAATGCGATCTGATATTGATTGTTTATAGTTGCCTGAATTTGAACGAAGATTTACCTGGTTAAATTCGACCAAAATTTTATTTTCTGCGACCAATTTTTTTACTTTTAATGAATATTTCTCAATGATCTGCTTTCATATCTGATCAATTTTTTTATTTAATTTTTCGAGAAATCTTTCAAAAAAAAAGAAAATTTTACCGATTTTATTTTTTCTTGATATTCTAAGCTTTTTTTTTTAAAAAAAAAATTTGTTGTTGATGATTTCTTAAAAAATTTTCGGATTTGTTAATAGGTATTACCAGCACAAATTGATCACGTGTTAAATGATTGACAATTTGCTACAACTATTGCATTCTATAATTTGTAACTAGCAACTTGTTTAAAAATATACTTATAGCTTATTAAAACAACGTGAAAGCTTGAACTGAATAATTTTATTTTACAAACTAAATCAAGGTAAATAAAGAATTAATGCAGATGAAAAATTGATCTCCACAGGTGTAAATTGGTGTAAATTAAACAGCGTTATCCGAATAGTGGTAATTTTGGAATTAGTAAGTTGATGGAATGCAAGAAACTTTAAATAATTTGAATGCCGATGACGTTCAAGTAAAATTTACACAATTTATTGATGTATATGCTCTTTGCGATGGTAATAGTATAAAATGCAGCTGATAATAAGAAAGTGATAACATCCGCTAATAGTATTAGTAATAAATATAACGGAATAAACTTTTTTTCTTATATCAATATTTAAAGAGACGACTTATAGTTATTACTAAGAAAAAAGAACTGAAATTACTAAACTAAATACAAATTATGAAGAAATAGAAGCTATTTTATTAGAATTTAATAATAATATAAAGGAAAGCATTTTTGAAAAAACTAAAAACTATGATAAAATAAGTGTATGAAAAATAATGAAGTCTTAAAAAAATATTTTCGACATAAAATTAGTTATATGGAAAATTTTCTCATGAGGAGGGGTTTTTACTAGCCTTAAATCCAATAAAAAATTATTAGACCCGGATAATTCTAAGGTGGGTGGGAGGCTTAAACTGTGTATATTTTGGACTAAAATTTATCTAATTCTGGTCAAAATTAAATTTAATTTTAATATTGACTGGAATTTAGACAAGTTTGGCCCAAAAAAAATATCTACTTTAGCCCCACCTACCTTATAATTATCTATTGGGTAAAATTGACCACCCAAACAGGGACGCTGAAAATTATGGATCCATAATTTTCCATAATTTTTGGGGAAAATCTATAATTTTGAGGAATATCCATAAAAAACCAAAATTTTAGAAAATTTTATGCATGATTTTAGCGGTTTGATTGGTTACAGATCACGTTGTCTATTAATTTCTATTAATCTGATTGGTTGTGTTTATAAAATTCAAAATTTCGAGAATTTTGGAATGGCGAAATTTTGGGCAATAATTCAAAGTCACGTGAATCACATGACGTGGCCCGAATTATGAAATTTAATTTCTTAATGCCGGCTAAATCCAAAAATTTCCAAAATTTTTGCGTTATCCAAAAATAAATTTACTTATAATCTAAAAAAAAATCAGCGTCCCTGCACCCAAATTTTTCAGATCACATGATATGATCGTTGTAAAAGGACTCAATATTATATAATCATATTATTAAACCTGTCTCAATTAATTCGTCATGTATTACTACTCTACTCCATAATTATCTATTTATTTATTATTTTCTAATATTATATATCAATTATTTATTGTGCATCAATACTACCATGCAGGAGTTAAATATTATCATTACTATTATTATTTATTGAACAATTAAGCACTATATTTGTATGTGCAATTTTATTGGTCAATTGCAATCACGCAAAAATTGAAACATTTTATGTGATTGTCAAAGAGACTTCTGGCACCATACATCCTTTTTTGCACATTCACAGGATCTTGAAATCGTGATTTTATAAGTAGATGTGTGCATATGTGCGTGTTCACGTATAATGACTTGATTTTAAAGATAAATTTAATTTATACTCAAATAACATTTTTGTTTTTAGATAAATAGAGAAGTACCAGGTAGAGTTTGGAACCGGATTTCAGTTTTAAATCCGGATTTATTTAAATAGTGATCTGCAGCTTCGGATTTAAATCCGGATTATTGAATCGATAACCGGATATAACCTGCATAACTTATTATGATTGGTTATATCAGATATGCATTCATTGTAACAATAACTGATAAAACTTTTGGTCTAATTTAATTAAATTTCTTAGGGATTCTTGAGGATTTTGTAAATTTGAAAAAGATCTTTACAACAGTAAGTAGTGGACTGATTTAAAAAAATTAGTTTATTTGAACATTTTTTAAAAAAGTAATTTAACTAAAGGCTTTTTTAGACAAAAACTTAAAAAAAAAAATAATAATAATTTATTGCACTTTCTACAATTTATAACTACTATTTTTATTTATTGCTGTATTGTATTTTTCATCTATTTAGACTAACAAAACTTCTATCATTAATTTTATTAAATTCAAGCAAAGAAAAAAAAATTATTCATTGGCCTCTAAAGGTGAAAACATAGGAAAATATATAGTATTACATTTTAAGAATAAGATACTATTAACTAAGCTAGGTGCTAATTGTGTTCTTCTTGCTGAAATATGATTGCCAGCATCAGAGAAGAGTCATTTACTAGGAATAGATGTAGCAGGTATTAAAAGATACTTACATGCTAATTGTGATAACAAGGAATAACTTATCTAATGCTCTTTCCACCAAATCAAAGAATCAATATTTTTTGGTTTGTCAGGATAGTATAAAAAACAGGTAACTTTATCTTCTTCTTGTATTTAATCACTACCCTATATTTTTGCAAATATATCCTCAGTATTAACATTATTTAAATTTGCTGCATGCTCTTCAACATTTTTGCCAATTGCTGAATCTTGCTTAAGTTGAGTATATAAGTTTCTTAAAAGAGACTCGGCTTGTGTTCATTGTTGTATATAGTCAAAACTATTTGCAAAAGAGAAATTTTTTATTTGAGAATCTAAAATCATCATAATTAAAGACATTTAGTTTGGTATTTTATCCAAAGAAAGATATATAGCTGCATGGACTCTTTGAATAAGATTTTCTGTGCTTGCTGGTAATAATCATTCAATTTGATTAACATCTATATTTACACTTTCATTTTATTTAGTTCTATTATTATTTTGACCTCAACCTTAACCCCAACCTAAGAATAAAAATAGATAAGTTAACTATAAACTAAATACTATATGGGTGCTACAAAGGGAAAAATGAGATTTCAGGCTTTCAAATTCATCATCTATTTATTACTGTATTTGGCCTACAAAAATCTGTTTAGTAATATATATGTTATATGTTACTGTTAGTGCTAAATATAACAAATACTATAATAAATGATAAACTTAAAAATTCAAAATCTCATTTTCTTTTAGTAGCATATATATAATCAATAATTTGGTTAACTGATTAGCCAACTAAAAAATTCCAGTCTTTACCTCAACCTCTACTCTGTTTTCATATTTGTTGTTTAAATTGTTGATAGACATGTCTCAAATGTCATCAATTTTTAGCAGTCAGAACATCATTATTATCACTTGTAGAATTTGAATCATCATTATCTTCAGCACTTTCTAAAATATCATCTTGTATTAAAGGGCTATAAATAAGATCCATATAGCCATCAATGGTTTTATTTTGCTCATTTTTTGGAGCAAACATTTGTTTTAACATATATATACATGGATGTACTAGGTTAAGTGTCAGATATTTGGCACCTAATAATTGTTGTGTTAAAGCTTTATATAGTTCTAATAGTTGGATCATTTCTTCAACAAAACTGTATATAAAATAAAAAATTTAAAAAGTAAATTAATTTTTTTTTTTTGGCAATCCTGCCTTTATTGTATAAGGAATGCATAATCTAAATATATAAGTTTCTGCTAAAGCCAAAAACCTTTCCTTTTCTTCAATAAAAGCTCACCCGGCTGCTCAGAGGTGCCCAAATGCAATCTGTCACAGCAACTTTTTACCTCCCTTCTGGCTTTCAACTTGCTAAAAGATTATCTATCAGATCCTTGGACAGTAGTTGCTAGCCTTGTCAAGACTGTGTTTAAGTTTTGTAACAATGTGGTCTATATAGTCCCGACCACTTTGGTTTGACGTTAGTTGTAATTACCTTCCTAACTTCTTTCTTTGTCTCCTCCCACAATTTCCGATCTACTTCTTCTGCTGAAATTCTTTCAGATCTTGCTTCTTGGGCTTTTCTTTTCTTGGTTTTCTTGTATGTTAAATCACTTCTCTCGTCTCGCTTTCTTTTTTGTGCATTTGTAATGCCTCTGCCCTGCTCAAATTCATTTATAGCTTTACATCTTAGTTGCCAGATTACCTCTTGAAAGCATTTTCATAACTTGTGGCTGTAAATCCTTTGTAGTTTTCTTAGTAATCTGTTCTCGTTTCTAAGCTCCCAGAAGATTCCTCTAATACAGTTAACTCTGTTTTCGTAAATAGCCTCTTGAGAATCTCTAATTATTTTTTCTTTTGTAATGCTATGTATCTTTCATTTGCTTTCTTTCTGTTTATTCTTTAACTTTTTCTTTATAGCATCCTCGAAAGCTTCACTCTCTATTCTGCTCCACAATTTCTCATATATTTCGCATGTGGCTAAGTGATCTAGATTTTCCTTTTCCTGGAAATATGCAACGCAAACGGGTAAAGATTTAGATTTCTTCTGTGAAGCACCTTCATCATTGGCAGCAACCCATTTATACACTTTATCTTAAAAACCTAACTGTGACTATCCTTTAAGCTTCTGCATCTATATCCCGCCTCTTTTCTTTGCATTCCTCATATTCCCCTCCAGTCTAACTATTTCTTTTCTGAACTACTTCTAATTAAACTATCTATACATTTGCTATTTATCCAACCTATACTATAATACATTTTTGTTATACTGTCTATTATTTCTCTAATAGATATATCAATAATATAACTATCCCACCTCGGAACCACCTTCATTAACTTGGACTATTCTACTCTAAAACTACAACACTCCTTAGAACTATTACCCTCCTTCGCTAGCCTATCAGCTACCTCATTTAATTTAACCCTACTATGACTTTTCATCTTTATGAAGCTAATATTAATATCTTTAATCTCAACTAAATTTTTCACCATTGCAACGATAGTCCTATTCTTGAGCTTAGTGGTTTTTGTTTTATTTGGGCTAGCTTTAACTCTTTCAATAACACAAATTGCATTTGCACTATCTATGAAAATCTGTACTTTGCATTTGTTCAGTATTGCTAATAATGCAAGCCCTATAGTGCCTATTTCTGCTCTCGTTGAAGAAGGCCAATCCTTTATCACACCGGCAAACTGCTCCAGTACTGCTTCTGTGCTCTTTTTGGCTGCGACTCAACTTATACCTATTTTCTTTGGCTCTCCGTTTCTACTATCCCCATCTAGGGAGCCATCTGTAAAAATGTCTAATTCTGCATACCCGGCCAGCTTCTGTAGTGACTTCTGGGTTTTCTCTCTATATTCCTGTTTCACTATATATCTGTCAATTAGGTCTTCTTCTAGATTCTTGATCATTACCATAGAGCTTGACAATAAGATGAGTATATTTGTTTGTATGTTGGCTCTTTTGCTAAAATTTGCTAGAGGCACTTCGCACAAGATTTTATTTTCTCCTTGCTTTTTAATGCAGTTTTTCTTTAATGCTCTTTGTTTATTCTTTAGCTTCACACCTAATTTGCATTCATTGGGCTTCTGCATGTTAGATAAACTACAACCTTGGCATTTGTCATAAATGTTTTTATTTTCTTTCTCTCTTTTCCAATGAGTTACTTCTACTTTTCATTTAGCTCTATTTTTTTTAACCACCTGGCCCAATTCTGTTGTGCTTTTTTTATTCGATAATACGACCCATTCTGCTTTTTTTTTATCTTCGGATATATGCTGAAATAAGGGCAATAAAGCTACTTGACTCTCTCTTCCGTACTTGTATTTTGTATGTACCTCTCTTGTTATTTGATTATTAATCACTACACCATCGATGCTAATAAACCATGAGGGCTTCTTCCCTTTGCCCTTATTTTCTCTTAGATATTTCACTTGGTGCCAGGTTAAAAGTGCTGATCCCTCTTCTTCGAGCAATTGTTTTATGAATATAATATTGTTTAACTTGCTTTTTATATACTGTTTTCTTTCGATCTTACTTAACATAGACCAGATTTCTGTTCTTTCATCTAAGTGCATACTCCTTGTCACTTTACTGCATTCTAGTTCTATACCTAATTTTGTGGCATCTCTAACTATATTTGCATTAAAATTATGCTTTATTTCTGCCTCATTCAACTGTTGAGTAAACTACTCAATTATGCATCTGCTGCTTCTGTTATCGATCTGTGCCTGTCTTAGTCTAATTCCGGTTATATTCCCTACCAACTCTATACTATTTAGTCTCTTAACTAAACTAGAACCTGTTGTGCAACCTTTGCTTGCCACAAGCCTTTCACCCCTACCAAATTTGGGTGCATAATGATATTATTAGCTTTAGTACTTGCTAAACCTGCTTTTCGTTTGAGTAAGTTGAGGAAGGGTCTATAGATTCTATCACAAGCTTGCTTGCTTATTACTTGGCATTTTAGTTGATATTCTAATCTTGGTAATAATACTATATTGTTTATGTACTGCAGGTGCCCCAAAGATACTTTCTTCTTTCTTAAAATTCTTACTAACCCAGCAACCTCTCTTTTTACTAGGCCCATACCACAATTTCTCTTATTTCTTTTTGAGATCCACACACCTAAAAATCTGGCTGCTTCATTATTTCTTTTCGCTTTTATCTCCACTCCATATTCACTAATAATACTGCATTCTTTATCTTCTTGACTTATGGCCCTATTAATTACAATAAGTTCTGATTTCTTCTCGTTTATCTTAATGACATTTAGTTTATAGAATTCATTAGCCTTCTTTAGGATTTCTAATAACTCTGTTTTGGATTTTGCAATCCAAGTCGTGTCATCAGCGTATGCCACAACAGCTTGTCTCTGTTTTATTCAAGTGATCTCTCTTTTTCTTAAATCTGTGGGCCACAGCACCGCTACCTCATAACCCTAGTCTTTAATTCTTTGCACTTCACACAACAGTGGGTCATAAAAAATACACTATATTAGAGGGGACAGCACCTCTCCCTGGTTTATCCTGTCTTTTGCTTTAATTACTCTAGTGCTCCTATATGCCGTTATCACTTCTAATTCCCTATATTTATACAGGCTAATAATATACTTCTGTATGTTTGTCAGCATCTTAATTCGTTTGAGAGCTAACTCTAGCGATATCATGCTTATAGAGTTAAATGCCTTTTGTATATCCTGTAATAGGATCTACAGCTCTTGTTTTTTTTTCTGTGCTTCTTCTGCAATATAGCTTAGGATATGTATGAGATCCTCTATGCTTTCTCCTATAAGACCCGCGTAGTTTGAACCTTTAAGTATGCTATGCTTCTTAAGAACCTGTTCTAGCCTTTTCATTATCACCCTACTTAGCACTTTTTGGATATTCTTTAGAAGAATAATAGGGCGTACATTATTCAAATCATAGTTCCAATCTTTTCTTTTGAAATCAGGTATAAAACTCCAATTTTTCATTTCAGCAGAATATTCCCAGTCTTTATACACTTTGACAAAAGCCTTGTACAAGCTTCTTTTATTTGGATCTTATTTAGTATAGGTGGGAATATATAAAGATTATAAGATTATTTAATATAAAAAAACTTTAACCCTAACTCAAAGCTAACTATAAACTATACTATGACTCTCACTCTAACCCTAACTATTCTCAAACCTGTTTAAATTAGTTCAAATAATTATTTTTATATTAATAGGCAATCTGTCAGTCACCTGGATAAAAAATTTTTTTTTTATATATAAATTTTACTATAAGTGCGAATGTACAGCGCTTCTATCTAAAACTTTTTTTATATAAATAAATCACTCTTCGGCTTCTAACAAAAGTTGTAGAGCTTATAAAAATGTATTTAATACTATAAGGATATTAAAATTAGTCTAGTAGTTTTTTAAAGATTTCTCAAGAACTACTAGACCAATTTTAATATCCTTACAGTATTAAATATATTTTTATGAGCTCTACAACTTTTGTTAGAAGCCAAAGAGTGATTTACTTAGTATAAAAAAAAGTTTTAGATAGAAGCGCTATGCATTCGCACTTATAGTAAAATTTATATATAAAAAAAAAATTTTTATTCAGGTAACTGGTGGATTGCCTATTAAAGATATAAATTATAATTTACTAATAATAAACTTATTTAGGATAAAAATAAATAGATATGAATTAAACAAAAGCCAAACTTCATGTTTAAGTCTAGTAAACTAACCAAGAATTTATAAAAAAACTGATATAAGTTTTTTATCAGAGAGATCACTAGTACTCCATTTAATAAAAAACTCAAAAAAACCAAAGATAATAAATAAAAACTTTTCAGAATACTTAAAGATATCTATAATTGTATTTTTAAAAATTCTTTGAAAGGCTTCTAAAAAATTTTAATAAATATATTTAAAAACTCTTGAAATTTATAGATTGTTAATTTCTGGTATATATAAAATAAAATTATTCTAAATATTAATTTTATTACTATTCTTTTATTTTTATTTTTATTTTTTTTTTTAAACTTTGACGGTCTTGCCAAAGCTCAAATACAAGCTACTTTATTTAAAAAATTAGTAACAGTAAAACTATTCTAAACTAAACAAGTTATAGTAATAAATATGCCTATAAGCAATTTATTGTACTAT